AAGGGTCGGATGTTATATGATATTCTTTCTGGGTCGGAGGGGCTTTATAATTGTCTTTAACCTTATTTTTATGGCTTAAATCACTGTGATATGGCTGACATGGCTTGTTACAACGTTAGATCATACTTATGAATTTGATAACGTAGGCTCGTCATCATTACACTATTGTCACTAAAATCATCATTCATGATCGCAGCCATGGTAATCCTTGCTGTCTCGATAATCAGATAAATCAAATCATACACAGGGTTCTTCCATAATATCTTGACACAGTTTATCTGATTATCTACCTTATTTCGGTACAGATCATGTCATAACATAGGCTTGTATAGGGTATATCATCTACCACGTTGCAAACACCACGTGCATCACTCGTCATTCATATCGTCGTTTAGACCCTCTTCTGATCAGGTGCTGCCTCGTCATGAGCAGCCAAGATCTCGGCCTCCTTCTCGACCTGCTCCAAGTTCAACTCGGCAACTTGGGCGTCATCGCCATCAAACACCCTTGCGAGCTCTTCCAGGGTGGGACCCTTGGTCTCGACGTAGAGAAAGTATACAAAGGCGAGCTCGAACCCGATCCAGCACTACAGATGATTTTGTCAGTTTTTCCCCCTAAAGCCGTATATCAAATGGTTGATGTATTTGCGAGACAACAAGACTCACAGTGTAGATGAGGTAGAGCTTCCAGTTGTGGCCCTCAAAGGCCTCGAAGGCGACGGGGTTGGCGTAGTTGTTGAGGGCGAGGGCGGCCTGGACGCAGGCCTGGACGACGAAGAGGCCCTTGGCGCGGAGCTTGTAGGGGAGGATCTCGAGGGAGTAGCCGATGACGAGGCCGACCCAGGCGGTGGAGTAGAAGATGTTGAAGAGCCAGATGAAGAAGATCATGGCGTGGTTGGCCCCCGGGGAGCCGCGCTCCTCGTAGAGGGCGGAGGAGAGGGTCCAGAAGATGAAGGTGACGAACATGCCCGCCGTGGCGAGGATGAAGAGGGGGCGGCGGCCGATCTTGTCGACCAGGAGGGCCATGGAGACGGAGATGATGAGGGCGATGGAGGTGGTTCCGGCGGAGAGCTGGGGTTAAAAATTAGTTATCTGGGAAGTTGGGAAAAGGGGGGGAAACGATTGGGCACTTACACCGAGCTTGGTGGTGGAGCTCTTGATGCCGACGCCCTCGTAGAGGAGGTTGGTGTAGTTGGAGATGATGGCGTTCCCGGACCACTGGGAGAAGAAGCCGATGGAGATGAGGATGATGAGGCGGTAGCGGTTCCCGGGGGTCCTGAAGAAGTCCAGGTAGGTGGTCGTCTTTTTGTTCTGGAGCTCCATCTTGATGGTGTCGCGGGCCTCGCGGAACTCGAACTGGACGGTGGGGTGGTTGCGGTCGCCGTTGCCGTGGTACTTGGCGAAGATGTCGAGCGCCTCGTCGAACTTGTCGTGGGCGATGAGGAAGCGGGGGGACTCGGGAACCCACCAGATGAACATGAGCTGGATGACGGAGGGGAAGGCCTGCAGGATGGCGGGGACTCGCCAGGACCAGTCGCTGCTGATGTAGTTTGTGCCGAAGGAGAGCCAGGAGACGACTGTTTATTCACCGTTAGCCGCCGCTTCTCCCTTGTTTCTATTCCGGGGGAGGGATACTCACTCAAAGCACCGACATTCCACAGGCAGTTGTAGATGGTGGTGAGGCGACCACGATGCTGGGGGTGGCAGACCTCGGTCAGAAGTGTGGGTGAGCAGAGCTGGGTGAAGGACACGCCGAAACCAAGGAGGATACGGCCGCCGGTGAAGATACCGATGCTGGTGGCGGCTCCCTGCATAACAGCCCCGGCAATCATGAAGCAACATCCCAAGATAATAGGGGGTTTGCGGCCGAACCGGTCCGCCAGGAAGGGGCTACACAAGCGCTCTGGTTAGCAAGTGACAGATGATGTGGGAATATCAGAGAACTGGAAACATACGCCAGTGGCAAGGAGACCAGGGAGGCAATTGTGTAAAGAGCAACCAGAAGACCTAGGAATGAGCCGCTGGGGCGGTCAAAATATGTCTGCCAGGTTTCGAAGTTCTGGACAGCGTTGAAGAAAGAACTGAGTTGTGGAGCTCATGGTTAGTATACCATATGCATGATTGTAAATCGACAAATAGATGAATTGTCTCAGGGAATCTCTGGGTAGGGACGGGGTTTTGGTCAAATCTCACCCATCGTATCCGTTGGTTGCAGAAGCAATGCAGAGAACACCGGCGTAAAAGTAAAGCTTCCTCAGACCCGGGTCCCTGTACCAGATAACATGCTCAAACTTGGGAGCGTCATCTTGGGCAGCTGCCGACTGGTCCACAGTCTTAGCCTTGAACTTGCCTAGAAGATCAAGGCGGGCCATGTTGAAAAAGGAGGAATGGGAAGAGTAGAGTCGACCCCTGGGAGTTGAGCGTTGGTGATGGCTTCGAGTCTAAAGGACCTGATAATAGATCTACATCATTGAGACTGGGACCTGGCTACCAGCTCCTTTTTATACAGAGACTGGCAGACCAAGCAAACGGATGGCCCTCGCTGCTACGACGGACAGGGTAGAGCATGATGGTACGCCGGCTTGCTCCATAACACCAAGCCGGCTACTATAGCACGGACCCTCTGTTCAAACAACATGGGGATGTGTGGAGATGGAATTAGGCGATGGGGCTCCCAGTAGGCGGGTATCATGATCCAACTAGACGCCTTTGGATAAGTTTCTTTTTTCCATTTCTCGTAAATGCATGATTTAGGTTGTTGTAAACGGGTCAAAGGGTATGTAGTGGGGTAACACTCAGGTCTGCCCATTGTCAACACTGGTTCACACGAAGCGAATACAGATGATGAGCGCTCGGTCTAAGTATATAAGATGTTATATAGCTGCATTCACTAGCCGTCCCAAACATCACGCGGATATGCAAGTCGAGAACGACTCTACTCCGTGAAGAACGGTGACTTGATCCATGCTGTCCAAACTCCCGGCACCAGAACAATGGAGAGGAGTCCTATTCAGCCAATGTTTCTTATGTCGTAAGTAGCAATCGCCGTGCGGAGCTCCCCATCCAACGAACCCACTCTGAATGAGGAGAAAGCTCGGAGGAGAGACCCAGAGAAAACCACCCCCACGCTGGGGTTGCTATTGGGGTGTGTTCAGTTAATTGCTGGGGGTCGCGTAATATGTGGTTCTGCATCCTTGAGGCCTCAATTTGGCCCAATATCCATCGTCGGCGCTCGAGAGGAAGGCCTCCTGTCTGTCGAGGCCGTTCTCTCACCGGTCAAGCTGATCAACTGCCAAGGAATGGGGCTCTTGATCGTTTGCAGCGCCGCCAGACCAGACCAGGTCAGACCAGGCCGACTTCGGCATGGCCCTGTGCCTTAGATGTCGTCGTCAGTCTGTCAATGGCTGGGATTCATATTACGGTTAAATCAGGGGTCTGTGTACATTTAGGCAATTTGGCCTGCCGCGTAGGTCGAGTATCCTCTATCTTGCATAGGGGATTGGAAACCGGGAAGGCAAAGAGAGAGACGGGGAACGGCTGGATCTCGATAATTCTGATGTGGCTGGCATGACGACTCAATGAGCCTGAAGGGAGTATCATCAGCCTGTCTGATGTGGCATGATACGCCGAACATGGCTCGGTGATTGTTGAGGTCGTCGCTTCAGATATCCAATCCCATCGTTTAAACAGGGAGTGGCATCGCGAATCGGAGACTGCTCTTGGCAGTGCTTGATGATCCCATCATTCCTACGAACCGCAGGGACCTGCCTACATAGGCAGAGTGTGGCAGACAAGTGCCGTGGTGAAGAGGAGCTTCCACAGCCTGGTGCACGCCATCATCGGCTCTGCATGACTCCTGTGCAGCTGATCAGCAGGAGCTTCATGACATGCGCTAGGGGATAACTGCCTTATTTCTGGGTAAAAGGCTAAATATCGGCTCGTAGCTGCCCAAGCTTGCAAGCTTCCTGTGTGCTAATTTGTCTGTTTATTGCTTTGTCGGTCAATCCCTAATAGAGCAGAGCCTGGCGTTTGGCAGTACAGTTGCATGTCCCATTTGCGATCAATTGGGACTCCAATTAATCCCCAAGATACCCATCCAAGGCTACGCGCGGTGATTTGTGACACAGCCTGCATACCATCGCCTTCACGTGTCTAGCTGCCACGGCCTGGACCGTGCACCCACACATCATCGTCTGATCTGCCACCCCGCCACAGCCTGAACGCAACCGCACCTCATCACCTCCATGATCTTGACCCCACTATGAACTGACTTGACCAGTTCATTCATAACATAATGGAGCCCAGCCTGATAAGCGCACTACGCAGCAACTTCTCGGCCAGCGAGACCGACAGAGAGCATTTCTACCGATGCTGGTCGCGAACCAGCTGCCCCAATTGCCTGGACGCGGAGGGATGTAGCTGGTGCCCATACGTAAGTCATGCTGACTTGTCCAACCATCTAATGCGCGTCACCCAGTAGCTAGTAGGTACTAATGAACAAGATGTCAAGTCTTGGTCCTGTGTTCCCAACTCATACAAGATCCCCTTCCTAGCACCGGCATATGACAAGCAAATCTGCCCAGCCCGGCAAGAGCAATGGGAAATCAGGACACGACCACTGGGTTGCAATGTCTCATCCGTAACTACGCTCACTGCGACTGTCTCCATCGTGGGCACCTTTGTCGTGCTTCTCCTGGCATTTCTCACCATCCTTGCAGCGCTACGCATCCGAGTGTATGCGAGGAAGAAGGCATGGCGGGTTCCTTGGCGAGCTCGGCCAGCGCAGAATCACGACAGAGAGCAGGAGCCGCTCCTACGGTCACAAGCGGCAGGGCAGGGCGCAGAGTGATGCATCTCAAGCTACGTCTACCGCGCAGGGCTCTACAAGGGACCGGCAGAACGGACGCCGGGGGAAACAGCAACGCACGAGCAAAGACCCCGGCAGTGCATAGTCTTCATCACGCGTCCCGCTCGATTGTCATCGATTGTCATGGCATTCATTCAGCCTGAGCTAACAGGGGGGATTATCGCAACCTCATCGCCGGGCTGGATCACCAAGCCCTCGGCAGCCATCTCAGCTGGCACGTCTATATAATCAAGGTTGACCGTCACGAGACAGGAATCAAGGATCTGCGTCTTGATCCCTGGGTACTTTGATTCCAGCTGCGCAAACAGCAGTCCCAGTGGTAGCGGAGCGTGTAGCTGTTCGCTCTCCTTCCCAGTAATCGAGCTCGCGCCGGCGAAATACAGAATGTCAAAGTATTCGACGCCGGTGTCCGGAGCAGCAGCGGCCATGATAATAGGGTGCTAATACTAAACTTTGGACATGTTAGCCTGCAAGTTCCTTCTCAATCGAGGCAATAACAAGTAAATGTGAATCAAGTTCTTGGGTCAGAGATCTTGGTGATAAAAAAACATCATAAATGTTCAGGTAATACATGCTTATTAGAGCATCATTCCAAGGGGGATAAGGGAGTGTAATTGAAAATATTGCGCAGTACTTACCAGTGCCACTCCAGGTGAGTTATCGGTATATTGCCATCATTACCATGGTTTCTGTAGGTTGGTGGAAGAAGAAGAAATGTTTTTCGTCCCCAGTTTAGCTTAATAAACCCACGTTCGGCCAAGCACGTGACCAAGCAATCCTCAACCCAACCACCTCCCGTAATATGGTAACGTATATTGAATTGGTTCATAAGGCACTTCATTGGAAAGAAAGATGAAGACATTATTTTATGGGTATCCCGGCACCGCTGAATGCTATATGTAGGTAGATTTTATATCTACTAATTCAATTTCGACATCCTCTCTTCCAGATCCTTCACCCACCCCTGCATCACCTTCATGTTGCTTTTGACGGTTTCATCCCCCTTCCCCATTGTGCTTTCCATCTTCTCAATACCGCTTCTCCACTGCTTCAACTCGGCCGCCATGTCGGCTTGGTCTTTCTGGATCCGGTCGAGCGTTTCGCTGGCAGTGGCCGCATCGGCGTGGATCGCTTTCAGGGACCGCAGGCGGTCTAGGAGAGGCGGGAGGATTGGCGCGAGGTTTTCAATCGTGGGCAGGATCGCGTACAGGGCGTTGATCTTGGCGTCCTGCTCGGAATCCTCCTCCCCGGGGGTCGAGGCGTGCTTCCCCAGCTCCTCCCTCAGCGTCTTGGCCTTCTCCCGCGATTCGTTGAGCTTGTCCTGCTCCAGGGCGAGGGTGCGCACCCTCCGGCTGATCGCATCCAGGTTGGCGGTCGTTGCCTGTGAGAGCGTTGTGATCTGCTTGTCCAGGGAGTCGAGGGTAGGCAGGACGGCTCGGGGTATGCCTTCGGAGCTTGCTTCAGGGATGGATGCGGAGCTGATACCGAGACCCTTCTCCAGTAATAGTAATCGGCCGTCGAAATCGGCCGCCTTGGCCAAGGCGTGGGTTTGCTCGTACGACGGGGCGTAGGTTATCGTGTAGGTGGCGCCTTGTTCTCCTGACAGCTCGGTATCAGCATCGTCCGTCTGAGCAGGTTCCGGGGCGCGCTGGGTCGGCCGGAGAGTAGTTGCGACCCCCAGAGGCTGGGATATTTGGAGCAGAACCTGGCTCAAGTTGTCCAGACGCTCCGTCGCCGCGCCCGAGTCTCCCGCTTCCGTAGATGAAGCCGTAGCTTTCTTTCTGGAATATTCGTCTTTGGCTTCCTCCACCTCTCGCTTTAGGCGGGCGATCCTCCTCTCAAGACTCTCGTCGTCGTCGTCATCTGATAAATCACCCAGCTCTTCCGTGCCGTCCTGTAAGATTCGCTGTCGGCGACTTGACGCCTTGTAAGATTTCCGCTTCCCATCAACGCGATCTGAGAAATCGACCCCGTTGGCATCGACATTTGCGGGCATAAATCTGGAACGAGCTTCGTTGATGCGGAGCCGTGACCGCGAGATCGGTTGGGTATCGTCCTCGACGTCGAAAAACTCGTCGTCCGATTGAGTGTGCGCTGTAGTCGTCTAGATAATCCGTGAGCCTCGCGACTAGAAACGGTGGTCAAGGAGAGCGAAGCATACTGGGACCGTGGAGACATCATCAGTCAGTTCTGGTGTCTCGTATATATCAGGGGCATCGTCCTGTCCAGAGTTAACCACCATGACATTGCGTTGAGCTGAAACAATCCAGAGAAGCATACCATGTCCGGGAGCCCGGCATATTTACGTTCGCGTGCCGCCATGCCTAATTACTTGCTCGGGGGGTGTGTCGCGATTTGGTTGATATCCAAGGTAGCTGGATAGCTCGGTGGAACACAAGAGCAAGCCTTCTCGGCTCCTGAGCTGCGGGGGAGTTCTATACTTGCTAAAGCGGGAGCCAGCTGCCTTCGTTAGCACGAAGATCCACTGCAGTGCACGCCAACAAAATGATGTCAAGGACGAAAAAGAAAGGTCAAGGGCAGCGGTATGAGATAGGTGGTTGGATGGTGGTGCAGTTGTGCTACCATGCAATGCGGGCATCCAGCTGCGGGTACATCCATTGCATACGACAGGTAAGTTTTGAGGGCCTGTGGCGCCTGTAACAAGCTGCAGCAGGCCACCTGCCAGCACATCCTGGCAGTGAAGGAAGCTCATTACTGGTCCTGGCGCCCCATTAATAGCCGGAAATAGGGTCCACCACGCCCAGGACGCGCATGGAGGTGCTAAGCATATGCTAAGCCTGCATATTGCATTGACCTCCCTCGCGATCAACATCATAACATTATTGCCACGACCAGGAAGTCAAAGACTCACTGCGCCCCAAAGCATTGGAAGGCATTGTTCGATACACTTGGTGGCCGGGCTCCCGTTTCCAGGCTGATGTATTGTCTTTGTCTTCCAGCTTGACACATGTTTTGGGCCGAACCCAAATCCTTATCGATTGGGGGTCAGAAGTGAACCCGTGGACTTTACCTCAGCTTGGCTCACTTTCCACGGTTCAAACTTCTGGCCTGAAATGTCTGCCAGACGCACTGGTCTAAGCTATGCAGACCCAATCAAACCTCTCCTTAGAGTTGTTGGTGGGAAATCTCGCGCAACGTATCGCCAAAGAATGACTGAGGACATCGATGACTCCGCGTCTCCTGACAGTAGTCATGGTAGCTGTCCAAGGCCATTCAAGCACGGGGTTTCGGACCCGATATCTGACAGCGAAAGCTCAGTGACGCGCTCTCATCTCAGGCGCTCCCAGGATTCAGATTCGGATGACACTGATGAGGGGAGGAGAGACCGGGCTACCATTAGCCGGACTACATTCGGCTCGTCGAATCCCGCACAGGGGAGCAATACCAGCCCCAAGCGAGGACGGCGTTTTGCTTCTGGAGGGGCCACGGAGGATACCAGGGATCAAACTCAAGCCAAGCGAAAGCAACTGGCTGACGAGAATGGACGAGCGAGCACCAGTCAAAAGAGGAAATCGATGTCAAGTTCCCAACAAAGCAGAGCTACTGAGCCTTCATCCAGTGCCGGGAGCCACTTGAGTGAATCCAACGGTTTCACCAGGAGGCAAAATGTCAAGGCTACATATGGTGCGAGCAAGAAAACTGCCGTGAAACGAACGTTCAAGTATTCCGATATGTGGAAGCAAGCCAGTTCCCAAGGTGAGGGACCCTGAAAGCAGTTTATTCAAACCGGTTTATCTAACTACCAGCAGCTAAATCAAAGACCTTGTCAACCACTTTCAAGCCCATACCTGGCTCGGATGACGAGTTTAGTTCACCGAAGAAGGCATCCAAATTCAAAATGCCAGAAGGGCCGGAGTCCTCCCACGGTTCACAATCCCCCATTGCCAAGTTCAAGTCGTTTGATGATGACCTGCGTAGCCCTTCTCCCGAGGCCAAGGCGAAATTTGTTGTTCCAACGGCCATGGATTCTTTGAATTCCGAGAAAAAGTCACCTTCACCAGTCTTCAAGTTTTTCCCGGGGACCCAGGTTGCAGAAAGTGCAGACCTCGGAATACATGATGAGTCCCTAGCAACGCTGATGGCTACCGACTCCGAGGATGAAGCTATCAACGCAGACGATAAGCAAAGTGAACTGACCGAACAAACGGCGGTCTGTCCATGGTGTGGCGAATCTGTGGATGCGGCGTTGTACAGAGAGTTCACCAAAGGTGTAAGAATGAACGTACAGAAACAAACCAGATTTTGTCGCAAACACAAAAAACAAACGGCGCTCGACACATGGCGGGCGAAGTCGTACCCATCCATCGATTGGGACGAGATGCCAAGCCGAGTAGCCTCTCACCACGCCTTTTTGGCTGGCATTGTGAACGGAGAGCCATCTTATTACCGGACCAAGCTGGCGAAGAAGATCGAATCAGGGGGATCCCGCGCCATGAAAAAGGAAGAAAATCTCAACCCGGGATACTATGGCCCCAAGGGATTCAATGTAATGTGTGACCTTCTTGTACAAAGGTTTACCGACTTACTCAAGGAGAGGGCTGTTCGCGACCCGGTCATCTCTGGTCGTGGGTCGGCCGCGTTTATTCAGTGTGTATTAGTTGCTGAGCTGGCTGTTCAGCTCATCATGCATGACATGACTGTGTCGGCCGAGGAGGCCAGGACCATCATAGAGGACAGCAAGGCGCTCGGCGAAATGGTTCAGGACGAATAGTATAGATGTATTGGCCTGAGAGATCAACCTCATCATGGCATTGTATTGTCTTCAAGTAAATATCGGAGACTTCTTCAACTTAGATCATGTTCATAGCGCGAACAAGCAATATAATGAGAATACCTTTAGTAACGCAACAGTTCTATGAGCAGAAACTCTCTTGTGCTCAACACCAAACACTTCTCTAGAGGAGCATGGCGATGGCCTCGTATGGCCCCAGGGATATCTCGCCACTGCTTACATCCTCCAATGATTTTCCGCCCGAGCTTACCAGTACCTCCTTGGCTTTGCCCTCGAAACCCCAGCTCACTCGATCCGCAGAGAAGTTGCAAGCGATCAGCGCAGCGGCGCCATCGCCGGCTATACGCTTATACGCAAACACACGCTCGTTGGGCTCATCGACCAGTCCAAAGTCTCCATAGACAAATATGTCCTTTAACTCCTTGCGCTTCTCGAGGACCTGCCTCCAGGAGTGGTAGACCGAATTGGGGTCTGAAACTTGGGCCGCGGCATTGATGGCCTGATAGTTGTCATTCACGCGCATCCAGGGCTCGTTTCCGCTCGTGAAGCCTGCGTTGGGAGTCGAGTCCCATTGCATCGGGGTGCGCGCGTTGTCTCTGGACTTCTTCTGGTAGTTCCTCTTGAGCTCCTCCTTGGTCTTCTCATCTGCGGTATCCTTGAAAAGGCTATATATAAATGGTCAAATTAGCCAAACGGTTCAGAAGTACAGAAATCGGGTGGGAAACTCACCTCCAATGATTCAGGCAGTCGACGTCCTTGTACTCCTCCATGGGCCAGTCCTCGGGGACGTTTGTCATTCCAATCTCCTGGCCCTGGTAGACAAATGGGGTCCCGGCCTGGAATCCAAGGAAGATGGCGATGAGCTTGGCGCTCGCGGCGCGGTGCTCGGGGCTGTCGTTGGCGAACCGGCTGACGGAGCGGGGCTGGTCGTGGTTCTCGAGGTAGAGTGCATTCCAGCCGTCGTTGTCGTACATGAATCGCTGCCACTTGTTGGTCGTCTCTTTGAGCTCGGAGAGCTTCCACTCCTTCGGGGAGAATTTCCCCCCTGGCCCGTGGTCGATATCCATCCTGGCGCACAGAGTTAGTCATATTGGGACTGGCTGTATGGGATATGCAAAAGAGATTTAGGCATACAGTTCAAAATGGAAGATCATGCTCAGCTCCCCGCGGTCAGAGCGAACGGCTTTGATCAACTGCTGCTCGTCATGGACGCAGGGCATCTCGCCGACGCTGAAGGCATCGTACTCCTTCAGGATGGCCCCGAGCTCTTTGAGGTATTCGTGAAGACGAGGCCCAGCGGCATAAAACTCGGAGCCGGGGAGCACGGTCTTATCAGAGTCGGGGAATGACTGGTCCTTGCTGATGAAGTTGATGACATCAATGCGGAACCCATCGCAGCCTCGATCCAGCCAGAACCGCATCACATCGTGCGCGGCTTTGCGAACGGCTGGGTTTTCCCAGTTTAGGTCGGGCTGCTCCGTGCAAAACAAGTGCAGGTAGTACTCATCAGTCTGTTCGTCGTACTCCCACGCGCTACCTTGAGTGAGAGAAAAGAGACACCTTTAGCCCTGTGCGTAGAACAGAAAGACTGTTATGGGACGGAAGAGTTACCTTGAAAGTGACCTTTCCAGTTGTTTGGAGGCTGCCTGTTCCCCTGGGCATCGTACTTGGGAGGCTTCCAGATGTACCAGTCTCGGAATGGATTGTCCTTTGATTTCCGCGACTCCTTGAACCAACGGTGCTGATCACTAGTGTGGTTCATGACCAAATCAAGCACAAGCTTCATTCCTCGCTCATGTAATTTGTCCTTGAGCGTGTCTACATCTGCAATGTCACCATATGGGGGGTAAATCTTGTTGTAGTCACTAATGTCGTAGCCCTTCAAAGTGGTTGTTCCTCCGTCATTAGCTAAATGTGCCCCTGGGACAGAGCACGAACACATACCATGTCAATCTGGGGACTATCGAATATGGGAGACAGCCAGACGATGTCGACACCGAGATTCTTCAGGTAATCCACACGAGAGATGATACCCTTGAGGTCACCAACACCAGACCCATTGGAGTCTTGGAAGGAAGCCGGGTACACCTGGTAGACGGAGCTCTCCTTCCACCAGGCCCGGCTTTGCTGTGTAGGGTTGGCCATTTCCAATTACAGTGTTTATATGTGCTTGACGAGAAATGGACAAAAATGTGAGAGAAATTGAAAGGGGGGTTCAATCTTGCGAGTTTGTCGTTCCGTCAGAGCTCTACTGAAGTGCCCAGCCCACGCCTGCGGGGTTCGGCGGGAGACTTGAGCTGTCGCCTCTGGCGATGTGGGCGCGAGTTTCGTTGCGATTCCCCAGTTGGGCGATAAAACAACGGGCAATGACCCATCTGGCCTTGAAGGGACGTATGTCATTCGCAAACTTGGGCGGCCAGGTTGCATACCTGTCCACTCATCACCCACTTATTGGTGCGGTCTAACAGGAGAACAGGAGAAAATCTCGGACCGGCGTACGGGTCCTTCGCGGGGACTCGGTGCAGAGCCCTGTTGGCCAGCTCATGCAGGAATGTAATTCCGTCTTGGA